AATCAAAAATAATTATTGATAGTTGTTACATATAAAAATTTTTATTTTAATAAGTAAATGTCAAAACAGTATTAAGTAATCTTAAATATGAGAATAAATTACATATTATATTTAAAGAACAAATACATATCATCAATATTGAGAGAACAATTAATGGTTAAATTTTGAATGGATTAAAATTTTTAAAATGATAACTATTTGCTCAATTTTAAATATACAGGTTTGTCCTTAAAATATAATATACAATTTGTTTTTTTTTTTAAGATTACTTAGTATCACTTTTGATATTTACTTACTAAAATAAATTGTTATATATATATTAATGATCGATAATTTTGTTATTGATTAACCAATCAAATTACTAAAGTAAATTGAAGTAACCTAAAGTAACCTGGAGCAACCTGAAGTAACCTGGAGCAACTTGAAGCAAAATTATATAATAACTCAAGTTATAATAAAATATTTGCTCCAGGTTAGTACAAAAAACTAGACATCTTAATTCACTCTATGATAGAGTGATATATAATCCAGATAGATGCCAGAACATTATACTCCAGTTAACAATCCTAAGTATAAGAATAAAGGATGAAGTATAAGAATGAAGGATGAAGCACAAAGATAAAGGATAAAGTATAAAGGATGACAGGTAAAATTTGAATAAAGATAAAAAGGTATAAAAGAAGTAGTAATCTCTTTCAAAGTCTTAGTCATCATAATACTACATTTGACTTCAGTTAATTAATAATTACAGATAGTTTTGAATATTAATATTATTAGATAGAAAAGTAAACTTTATTTAAGGGCAGTTAAATAGATATGTAACCTGTGGTATTTCTGTTATTAAAATAATACTTTACTTTTAAATTAGTATCTTTTATATTTTAATAAACTTATCTTTTGTATCATAATATTGTTAAATATTATTTGATACTGTGTTAACACTTTTACTTCACCTTACTCACTGGGCCTTCAGATTAAAAATAAAGAATTAAAAAGAATTAAAAAGAATTATATTATATTTATTATCTGTTTTGAGATAGGCAAGTTTAGATTAACAGATTGCTTGACCTACTGGCAGATAGAGTGTATTAAAAAATTAGTTTGTGTGAAACAAACTCTGAGACTGATAGGTGAAAGTGTTCAAAATACTCTGTACATTTGTAACAATATATATAATAACTATTGTTCTAAAATTTATTGTTCAGGGGTTAGAATTTTTTAAAGCCAAAAAGTTAGGTGGTGCATTAATTTTGTAAACCACCGTAAATATCTCAAGCCAAATGTGGTCAATGTTATACAAACACTATGCTTTCAACTAGTTAAGATTAGCAGTTTTCCAGGTTGATTTAGTGGATTTTCAAAAAAAAAAACTTTGCAAAATCTGAAAAAAATATATTTGGTGAATTTTATTTATATAAAATTAAACAAAGAACAAAAGGAAAATTATATAAAAATTTTGAATTATTTTGAACATATTTAGATAAATTTCAGATATAAGAAGTAAACAGAAATTGTGGTTGTGGTCAGTCATATTTATGAACTTACAAACATGAAAAATCAACAAATTATACAACTTCCATCTTCGCCTTTACTTAATCCACTTCAACTTTACATGAATTTTCAATAACCAAACTCATTTATTATCACTTTTTTAATTTTGTCTTTTTCTCTTGAACAAATAGTTCAGAATACAAAAAAAAAAATATGCTAAACAATAGGAGGGTTTAAAAATTTGACTGGCAATTTCAATATCTTTAAATTACTTTCTATTAAAGATTTTTGGATAAGAAAGAATTCCTAAAGACTAGGAAAACGGGAACCATTGTAAGTCCGGAGCAATAATTGTGTAATTGATATTTTAAATATAAAAATATCAAAACGTAATTTTTTATTGCCATGTGTTCTTTATTTTTTTATCTCATAATCGTTATCTAAAATCGGACGGACATACTTTCCAAAGTTGCTTTTTTGATTTTTTATATTTTTATTATAAATTATGCATCAATGTCGAAACTATTAAGGCATCAAAAACGCAATTTTGGTAATCACTTTACTCGTCCTTAAATATCCTACGCTACGCTCCGGACAATAAGATAACAAACTTTTATGACATTGCTTCATTTGAACAGGTATGCCATTTTTAATTTTTATAATTTTTATAATAACACTTTTTATTCCAATTTGTTTACATAAATATTTAAAAAAGCTAATACTAAAAAAAATTCGTTCTTATTAATGTTAAAGGATTTTTCAATTGAGTTATTTGACAAATTAATTTTAAAATGGTACGAATATGGCTTATCGAAGAATTTAACGTAGAATACCAAATAAATCGGAATATGTGGAACTTTTCACGCAAATAGTGTTAATTTTCCTTAAATTGGAATACTCTTTCTGGAGTTGTGATTAATGATGTATTAGCAAGATTTGTTGTCCAGTTACTATGCTGACTACCATTCATGAGATGTCAACCTTAAGAAATAAGTATAATGGTACATGCAGTTTTTGAAACTGTCAGTAAAAAAGTCCTATTGTAATTGAAAAACTACAACCATTTTATCGGTAGTTGATCAATTATTATGGTACTGCTTTATTAGCATAAAGAATTTGTATGCCTTTATTCTTTTTTGGTTATTAGATATTGAAATATTTAGTATTAAAAAAATGGTAAAAATTATACTGGTAAATATTTTTTTTTTCTCGATGTAGTTTATAATTTGCTTAATTTTATTATAATTATATTTTTAGGGTATTTGGTAACACTGCATATTCAGAATTTTGTAAAATACTTTGATATAGTTTATAAAAATTAAATAAATCGATCTTGTTCTAATGTATATGAAAATACCATCATTCAATTCACCTTGATGAGAAATCTAACAGTATAAGAATCGTTGTTGTATGACCACTAGAATGACAAAATATAATAAATAGTTAGATTTTTACTTAAATCGAAATGTTTTGATCGATATCGATATGAAATAACCTAAATTTAAAATTATTTAAATATGATATTCTAAAAAACAACAATACATAACAGAAAATGAAATACCTTCTTTCATCAGATGATTATTTATTTGAAAGGGGGAGGAACGTAATAAAGTAATAGTCGCGTACGGTGCAAATATTTTAACAAAAAAAAATTACCAAAAAAAAAAGTATAAAATCTTCAAAAAAAAAATGATTAAAAAAAAATCAAAGGATTAAAAAATCTTCTACAATTACAGCTTTATGTTGTAATAAGAGTAGCAGTAGTCGTTTTAAAGACTATTATATACTCAAAAGAGATGTAATATCACTTTTTAAATTCTCATAAATAATTTGTTTTAAAATTCAAATAAAGTATATATAAAAGATTTTTATTTAAAAATCACTATTAGGGTCTCCAAGAACGGAGCCTCCCGGTGGAGGTATATAAGAAGGGAATGAATTGTTGAGAGGTGCGTTGGTCGTGACGGTGTTGTTCGTAGGTTATTCTTTTGTTGGGCTACCTATATACTTTATCTCGGTGGGATGTCTTCGCCAGTATTTTAGACCAGGCAGGGAGCGACACTTTCGGACCTAACGACAAAAATAATTGCACGCACGGCGTTATATACGGGCTGTATTCTGACAGAAAACGGAGACTGCCGTGGATGAGACTTTCAATTATATTTTATTCTAATTTCTGATGGGTGGGATGTTGTTCCTAAAGTTGTTATAGGGGGAGGGAGGATGAAGAGATTTTTCTTTTTTTTTTTTTTTTTTGCTTTAACTGGCACGAGGATTTGTCTCAGCCAGCCCTCGCTTTGCGAGCGTCGTTGATCAACCGGTCGCGTAGACTAATAGTTGGTAGGAAGTAGTTACTCTTTGTATAATTTAAATTTTATAATAAAGGTGGCTACGCGGTCACGATGGTTAAAAAAGAAAAAAAGGTTAAAAATTACCTCAAAGTCAGGTACATTTATTGTAAAGCTTGCAAACCTATTATTTAAATTGACTATATAATAAGCGCTTATATTTTCTACAATAATTTTTTTGAAAGTTTAAAATTTAGTCATTCGATTTCTTATGATATAGGTCTGAGATATTTATAATAGATGTACTTTATTCTCAGCTTCTTTTTGAAGGAGATTAACAGCATTATTAATATTTGCTTAGTAAATAAAAATATTCATATGTAACAATAATCGATACTTATTCTTGAGACTTTTAGTCACAGTCACATGTCATTAGATTTCCTTTCGTGATAAAAAATTTTTGCCGAAGTCACTTACAATAAGTAATGTGAAGAAACATTATAATAAGGTTTGTAGTTTAAAATATTAGAAATAAGGTTAATTATTATAATGCTATTGTTGTGTCTTGATTATTACAATGGGATTCTTTTTTTATATTCACTTTGCACAAAAGAATGAAAAGAATAAAAAAGAATAAAGAATATCATTTTCTTATCGTAATCTAGTATGAAATTTAATTTATATTATTTCAAATAATTCCAATTTATTTTGTTAGAAATATATTTTGTTTATTCTATGTATCAAAAAAAATAATAGATGAAAATGGTAATGTCACAGTCATTTGTTTAATAATTTAGCCTTGTTATAATTGTAGAGATCTGCGAATAGTGCAACTTCCAATTTCCAATTTCATATCTAAGAAGTGTTATCTGTAAAGTAATACGATATACACATTATATAGAGATGTTAACAAAACGAGACTCATAAAAAATTTTCTTTCGTCTTTCGTACAATAAAAAAAATGCGCGATATTATATTATTCTTAAAAATTTTTTAAATATATTAAAAAAATTTTTTTTTATGCTCAATAAATTAAGTTCTTGTGAAATGAACCTACATATTACATTATAATAATATTTAATAAAAAAAAAATCATTACATTATAATTGTATTGTGAGTTACAATCTTTTTTTTTTGGTATATGGCTGTAACCGATTATATATAAAGAGCATTTAAATTTCTCCCTTTATCATTTATTCTTCACCTTTTCTTCTAGAAATAATGAGTTCCAATTCTAATGGATCGAAATGGGACAATAAATTAAAATCGAAAGATGGTAAACTTCCCGATCCCTACGAAGAAAATCTCATAAAAAAGTTTGATAGAGATGACATTTTTAATTCTTTGATATACACAGGCCCTTTTTTATTTAAGAAACTTTGTTTGAAAAATTCTAAAAATAAACCATCAAGACCCCCTAATCCTTTTTTAATAACAAGGGCAATTCTTGTTATGGAAGCTGTCAAAAACAAAACTTCGATAGGGGACGGAACAATGACCAGTATTTTAACTTCTTATATTTGGGGAGGAGCTGATAAACATGAAAAAAACCGGATGAAGGAGATTTCCCTCGAAATCAAAAAAATTCACAAAAAAACATTTCCTAATTATAAATATAAGCCAGAAAGAAATGGAGTCAAGGACAAATTCAATAACAAAACTCCAAAAGATTTTGAGGCAGATTTTGGTAATGATAATGAGGAAATGGTAATTAATGATCCCGATCCCCAATACCACGACAAAGATTTAGGTGAAGGATTTGAAGTCCACCAAGTCACGCAAGAGCAACTTCCAATTTTTACTACTTCGGTATATTACCCCCAAGTTGCTCAATATAATTTACCTTTCGAATTTTATCCATATTCTCAAATTGAAAATGATAACAATCCGTACATTATAAATGGATTCCCTCCTTTCACATAAATCAAGTAAATCAAACTTTTATTATTCGATCATTTTTTGATCCATTTCACCTTCATTTGTTCATCAGTTGACTGACGATCAACACATTATTTTTTTTTTGATAAAATCGTGTTTTTATCATTCTTTCGTTTTCTTCCTGATTTCTTCTATTCTCAGTATTTTTTTCGTATCATGTTATTATATTTTTCGTATCATGTTATTATATTTTTTTCTCATACTTTATATTATTTGGTAGGACATTTTCATCATTTTCTCATGTAACATTATATTTTTATCATTTATACAATTTTTTTTCATCCTTTATGCTTTATGCTTTTCCATTATTTACGATTTTATGCTTTTCCATTCAAATTCAATAAAGAGAGGGTAATTTATTGGGTTATTTATTTAAAGAATTTATTTTTTGTCATTCTTTGTAAGATTTTACATTCTGTTTTTCAATATGTAAATATATGTATTAAGTCATATATTATATTACAAAAATTAAATAAAATATATGGGGTTGTCTATATGATGTTAAATAATATTGAATAAGAGTGATCATAATGTATCGTACTTTTCAAATTCGAAATCTGAAAAAAAATTTTTTCTCTACAAACCAATTTCACGTTCATTTCGTCCATTAATGTATCCAAATAAAAATTTTGTGATATAAACAATCAAGTAGAATACATAAAATAGGGCGTTTAATGAAAAATAAAAATAAAAATATAATTTTTTTATTATTTTTTTTTTTTTTTTCTTCGCGTACGGATGTCACGTGACTTGATACGAAAAAAAAAAGCAACCAATTCTCGTAAAAAGCTTAAAATGGTTAAAATGGTAATGAATTTCCTTTCATAAAATACAAAAAAAAATATTTGGATTACCACGTATAGCATATTTAAGTTTATTAAATTATTATAAAAAAACTCATTATTTATTTATTTATTGATCAATATTATTTATTTATATTTTATTTATATTTGAATGGTTGGCTGAACAATAATAGATCAATGAATTTATCTATTATTTAATTATTTTGTTTATTATAATTTATTTATTTAATTTATATTTAATTTATTGTAACCTATTTTTAATATAATTTATATAATTTATTTTAATTTATTATAATTTAATTTATTTATTTTTTAATTTATAATTTATATTTAAATTATACTTAATTCATTTAATTTAAATTTATATTAGTATGATTAATAGTATAATCAGCAGTTAATTCAATTCAATTAAATTCTTAGTGTTGATTGGATCTTTATCAATTATCATGAATAAAAATTAGGAATGCAACACCCGCTTTGTTCTTTTTGATGCGTTTTACAATGATATCAAATATCTATATATATCAGATTAAGTTTTTAAGTTTACAAATCAAAAGAATTGATTATTTTATTCAATCAACTAATTCCATATAGTCCGTTAATTCCGGTCAATGAATGAAAAAAAAGAATTCCTTATTATTTTTTGTTCTTTTTTGTTCAACGATGCATTTACATAAAAAGATTCGAATATATTAATTATATATTTATTATTACTGTTATTATTCATAAAAAGATATATCATGAAGAAAATTTATAAATTTAAAGTTATTATATAATAAATTTATTAAATATATCCAAAGTAATAGTAATAGTAGTAACCAATAATTGGAGATTTTTAATAAACTATGAGAATTCAAAAACCAAAAATTTTATAAATTAACTTTAATAAATTTTTATTTATTTATTCCCTAACGACTTTCTGGGGATAAGTATTTTTGTAATTTGTATAACTATGGTATATAATAAGACCCTAAACTATAATTTAAACTATAATTTAAACCATTTTAAGCATAAGTTATAAAGTTCCTAAAAATTTTACCATTGATAGCTAATCACAATTCTGGGGTTGTGGATTGCATATCATTAAACAATCATTATAAAATAATACCTAAATCATCGACAATAATGGAGTAAATCCTATTGGCTCCCTTTATGATGCTAACGGAATTAATCACAATTTCAGTCCAATGGGAAAAAGCCATGTGCTTTATTAATTTTCATATTGATTTTTATGAAATAATTATATCATCATGGATTTTTTATTCTTTGATTCGGGAATATTTATCCGTAAACAATTGGTTTTCTTTGATTAGGGAATATTTATCCGTAAAATGAATGAAACGGAAATGTTTCTTAAATGAACATTTGTCTTTACGAAAATGTTATAGTCTTATCTCTATCGACATGTCATGTTCCTACAATATTATGTTACTTGCATTATCAGAAATGAATGTCATTATAAAGTGATATTTACATTTATCCCATTCCCATAATTACTAGATTTTTTTTTTACTAAATTTTAATTAAATTTCCCGCCAAAATATTAAATGCAGGAAATTTCTTATATTCAAGGAGAAAAATGCATCTTAAAATCTTTGTCAACATTTCAAATCATTCAAAAACATTATTAAATAATCCTTTTTTTGCAAATCCTTAAAGTTTGAATGTTAAAGTTAAATGTTGAATGATACACGTTGTGTAATTTATGTATCTGACAGTTTTTTAATATAAGTTGTACAACAAATCAAATTCCATGAAGCCAAAGAGCCAATAATATTCTGGTTTTAACAAAGAAACATCAAACTATTACTTATATATTTATTTTATTTTTTTTTTTTTAAAAAAAAAAATTTGGCAGTACAATTGTTTTTAGAGACTATTATTTGTTTGTCATTTTCTTCATTACCTCGATAAAGATTAATTTGAATAAACCTGGGGATTTGGATAAAAACAACGACAGACATATTTGTATCTTATACGTAATTCTGTCGATATGCTGTCGATATGCAAAAATACGTAATTTCTACATGTAAGGTATAAGTAATGTATGCATGCGTGTAAATGAAAGATTATAAAAATTATTAAAAAGAATACATCATCGTAAAACAATATAGATATGTTAATGTTTATGATAGAGGAAAGAATCTGAGAATCCAAGAAATTGATTTTTATAAAAGTAATTTTTGTTTTATAAATGAAAAAATATTTTTCTTTTAGAATTCCTTTTTTTTTATTATTACAATGGTAGTCTATTGTTGATTATTATTACTATTTATTATTATTTAATTGTCGGTTGGGAAAAAAAAAGAAAAATCAGTCATTCCTTTTAAGTTATAAAAATGAAAATTTTATTTGTGGCATTATTATTTCTATCATTATTTATTTATTTATTATGATATTATTATTATTATTATTATTATTATTATTATTATTATTTGTTCCCCTTAAATTTTCTAAGTAAAGTTGAGATGAACATGAAAATTAGACTTTATTACTTTTATTTTATTTTACGGCGCAAAATTCTCGGCTAAAAAATATCCCGTGTAACATATCATTTTTGTATAAAATCTTGTTCAGAAGAATGAATTGATTAATAACACAAACGTGGTTAAACAATATAAACTTTTTTTTTGGTCATATAATTCTCATTAAATTTAACAATGTTGAGAAAACAATGATGTCTTTACAAGTTTTTCTTTTATTTAAAAAATTAGAAACAATTAATTTATTTATTTTGTAGAGTGTGGTAAAATTATTATGAAATATAAGAAATAATAATTAAAATTTATCACATTGTTTATAAACAACGATTTCTGCAAAAGATTATTACATTGCATAACGTCCTTATCTTAATAAATATAGTTTGATATATTTTTCTTGTAATTAAACATATCTATATTTAATATATTATTAATTATTTATTAACAAAGAAAATTTATTAAAACTATAGAAATAATTATTATCAACAATGACGGATTTCCTCCTTTGTTGTATTTTCCTGATTTTTAAGAAATGTAGAATAAGAACAATAGAATTTTTGAAATTTTGTTATGAAAAAAAATAACAATGATAATCTTTATTTGTGAAAAAGAATGTCATTAAGGTTTTATTTTATTAGTAAAATGATCTTTTTTTTTTTTTAAGTTGAAATTTTTTTTTTCACGAACAAATTTTTATTGGATTCGAAGTGGACGAATACCATCGAATCCATTCAATTTGTCAAAGGTATTAAAAAAGGTCGTTTTTGTAGTACAACAATAACTATTCAGATAATAAATGAGATTAACTTTGATTAAAAAAGGTGAAAAGGAATTTATTTACGTTATTTATAGAAAAATGATAAATTATTCCGAGACTTTTTTTTTTTGTTGTAGAAATTTTCGAAAAATATATATTGATATAAATAGATATGTTAATTCTAGGTTGTTTAATTCTTGACAATATTTAAAAATTGGGACTATTGTTATTCTTGATTTGTTTATTCAATGACCTTTGAATGTATATTGTTTGCGATCGTTGTTGGTTACAAATAAATATCTATTATTATATATATATATTTTTTTTTGTAAAAGACGCCCTTATTTTTGAATATTTAATAAAATACCATGTACGAATTAAAGGATAATAATTTATAATTTGATGTTTATATGGTATTTCAATTATTCAATTAATTCGATTATTATTAACCCCTGATAAATGATCTTTCATCATCATCATTATTACTATATTATTATATTATATTTTCAAAAGACAATGATTCCGGGAGTGAGCAAATAATGTTAATTAAATCTCGTGTTATTGTTTTATTATTGTGTTATTGTTGGCGCAAACCGTTTATTCGACAATATATAAAGGTCGCCTTTTTCTAAGAATTTTTTTTTTTTGAAAATATTTGGGTTCCATAGAAAACAACCGAATTATTCTATAACAAATTATTTCATATTTTATTATAAATTATTTTTATTATATATTCTCATATATTCTCGTATAATTATTCTTTACACATTCCTTTTCTTTTTCTTTTTCTTTTTTTTTTCCTCAAAGATGAATACAATTTACATTCAACAAAGCATTCCTAATTATGTTAATTTTTCGGACTTTGACGAAATGCTAGAAGATCAATTCATTCGAAAACTTGACAGGAATGAATTATTCAATCCTAATATTACGGCCGATGAATTATTAAAACCACTCCCGAACGAAATAAAAAAGATTCCTCGATCTATGAACAGTTTTCTTTGTTTTAGACGTAAAATTTATTTATTAGCAGTCGAGGGCGGATTCATTGATGAAATTAGAGACGGGAGGTTCCTTACGAATGTGGTTACAAAAGTCTGGAAACTTGCTAGTTCTGAACAAAAAAATATTTATACTCAAATAGCTAGAGAAGTTCGAAAAATCGATCATACCAGGTATAAAGGGATCAAGGTTGAAAAAACCGTAAAAAACAATGTAAATTCATTTGTCAATACATATATGGTTAATTTTGGCAAGACAAAGACTTCTCGAAGGAATAATTCTCGAACTCGCAACACCAAAAAATCCATAAGAACAAATTTATATCCTACAGAATTATTTTTTCCACCTCCAATTATTGATAATTCTGTAATTCCCATTGATACTTCGTCTTCGTTTTTTAGTACAATTGGTAATATTGATAATATTGATAATATTGAGAATTTTCCATTCATTATTCCTATGTTTGATGATTATAATTTGGATTATAAAATTCAAGATTATGAACATGAACATAATGGTTATAATATTTATTATACTCCAATTCAAAATTTAACTCAAATATGATTAAAATTTCCAAATTTGTAACGTTACAATGGTTTCTTATAAAAAAATTGCCGTGCCCGTAGTACAATCAGTACAATCCGCTTAAATTATCGAAAAAATGTAATCGCCATTTTTTTAATTCGTTTTATTCATTTTTTTTTTTTTTTTTAAAAAAAAAAAAATATATATATATATATTTTTCGAAAAATTCATATTCAAATTAATATAAGACATTAATTTTCATAGATAATTATGCAACCAATTCTTTTACTTATGCTATTTTAGAAAAAAAAAAGCTTGTGTTGTGTTATACTAAAAATAATAATAATAATAATAATATGATTAAGAAAAATTTCGAACAAATATTTCTATATGTAAATAAAATGTGTATGTAAATTATGAAATAAACAAATGTAAATTGAATATATTTATTACAAGTTTATCATTAAACTAAGAAAAAGTATTGTCAGATTAGTATTATCATTAATGTCGCGGAAATGTTCTTCAAACTAACCGAATTTTCTTTACCAACTTGTTATCCCAATTTATGAAATTGATTATCATATCATATGCATTTTTCATTTATTTGAAACTAATTAAAAAAAAAAAAAGAGCAGACGCGTCTTTCGTTCTTCCTTAATCAGATTTAATGAATGAATTGCATAGTATCAAGAAATTTATTTATTATTTATGCATTAATTTGACTAAATTAATTTACGTAAATGATAAAAGTTACTTTTAAAATTATATTTAATGTTCCCTTTCAAAGTTATAATAATCATTAAATTGTTTCATTATCAAATCTAGTTATTGATTTTACGATAACGCATTTACTGCATACAAAATATAACGCAATCCAAACTTTAATTAGGTACGAAATAATAAATGTTTATAATTATTCAATGTTTGTTCTTGTTTTGTTACAAATTAATTGTATATTCTCTAAAGAAAAAATAGGGTCACTCCATAAATTTCCTTATCTTTTAAATTTTCTTTTTTTCCCATGGTTATATCGTATTGTTGTATTGTAGGTATTAAAAAAAATATATTTTGGGGTTTTACAAATAGATTGTTGTCAAACATGTAAACAAATGTAAGCATCAATAACATTGTAAACTAAACTAGCTTTATATATTTTATGAATTTTGTATCCGAATTAATTGTTTTTTTTTTTTTTTATTAAACTTTTTTCATCTTTAATTTTTCAAAAATTTATAAATCACAATCACACTGTGACATAAATAAAACATCATGTCACTTTCCTAATTTCAATCATTGTAATTAGTGTACACAATGCAATTTTTTGTGTTATGCATTTGAAACAATCATTGCATTAATCTTTTTTTTCTTCTTCTTTTCTTAGCTAAATATTATTTCTTAAATTTTTATTATTAAAAAAAAAGAGAATAGGGACGTTAGTGTGAATATTATCACTTTCAATCTAATAACTAAAATAAATTTAATATGAGAAAGAAAAAGACTAGTTTATGTTCCTTTTTTTTTTTTAGATAATATGGCGGCATTCAAAATATTTTGCATATTACATATAAATGTTGTGCATTTGTTTTTTTTTAAAAAAAAAAACATTGGTGCACAAATCACTTAATTTTAAAATATAATTTATTTCTATTATAATTATTATTATAATTATTGTAATGTATATTCTTTTATTATAATATTATTTAGTTTAGTTTAATAGGTTATTTAAGTACAAATATATTCTTCCAAGTAGAGATCTTCAAAAGAGAGATGAAAAAAAGTGCACATTATCGAATTACTTAAAAGTAACCTCCCCCCTTTTTTATGCTTGGCGTTAGGGAATATCTTTAACATCTTTCTTTCATTAAATAAAAAATTGTTCCACAATATCAGTGCTGAAATATTGGTCAATGCATTAAGACAAAAATGACTTTATCTCGGCTGATTCACATCGTCATATTTTTTCCTTTAAGGTGCGTAACAAAGGACATTGTAATTATACAAATAAAGGATAATGAATCAGAATAAATTATTGCGCACGCGAAAAATCGAGTTTCCTTATAATAAATAATAAATGCGATCCTAGTATATTTCACGCATTTGGTTGTAATTATTTTTCAAATAAGAAATGTCAATCAAATTAATAAATTCCAAAATTGAATTAGAAAATCCCAAAAATTAGTGTTGTGATCTTGATTATGTTTGCTACACATTATAAATAATTATATTAGTTCAACTCATTCAAACATTACCAAAAAATTTTATTAAAAAAACGAAGTACGAATGGGTCATCAATATCCATAAAAACAAATAATATAAATAGTTGCCCTCACGGAATTGTTTTGAAAGAATTTTCCCAAAGATTCTCTTTTCTTCCTTCTAATAATTTTATTCCTTAAATATAAATAATAAAGGTTGTGTTCGTAATACATTATTTGTTAAATAAATAAAGCAAAATAAAATCAAAATGACAAAAGTCAATAATATTAACAATAATAATAATAATAATAATAATAATAATAAAAATAAAAATAATAATAATAATAATAATAATAAAAATTATTATAATAAACAACCAGAAAATAAAGTCAGAAATGGAAGAGTAACAAAATCAACTACTAAAAATGATTCATCAAACAAGTCTTCAATTTTAAATCAAAAACAATTAGACATATATAATTCTATAAATTGGGTTAGTTTCTGGCAAAAGTCAGTCGATAAACCAGACATTCCACAACCGAGAAGTGGTGATGGAAATGTTCCGCGTTGGCCAAATTCTTATATGATAATGAAGAGCGTGGTGTCCAAGTTAATGAAAGATCTAGACGGAAAAAGTGATGGTGTAGATATTACAAAAATCAGCGCTTATGCTTGGAAGAAAGCCACGAACGAACAACGCCAGAAATTTAAGGACGCCTTTAATTTAATGAAAGTAGAATATACGAAGGCTTATCCAAATAAACCCTATCACCAACCCAAAAGGGAAATTTGGAATCAAGTTCAATTCAATGATACACCAACACCTTCACATTCTTCTTCACCTTATCTTCCTTCATCTTCTATTCCTTCATCTTCTATTTCTTCACCTTCTATTCTTTCTAATCCTCCTTCTTCTCTTCCTGTTCCTCCTTTTTCAAACATGGTTCAAAATATCAATTTTGATTCGATTGCTAATAATAGTGATGGCATTGAAGTAGATTATTTTAATAATGTGAATGTGAATAATACTAACACTTATCCAAATTATCCTTATGAAGATAATGCTTTATATGGAGATAATGCTTCACCCAATAGCCATTTTTATTTACAATACGACGACTTAAATGATTTTATCGATGCCGACGGCTTATTTAACGGTAAAAAAAATATTTTCTCTTCTATTGTTCCATCGAACGCTCCTTCGAACGAACACGACACTCCCACTTATTCTTCAAGTTCCGATAAATCTACTGCTTCCAAGAATTCAAACAAAGTATGTGACAATATGAATTGTTACTGTGGAACGCATTTACCGGATGAATTGGGGTTTTATTCTGGACCTTATTAACAAAATAAGGCTTAATATTCCTTTAATACTTAGTCCAAATCTTTAAAATATTTTTTTTGTTATTATATTTCTTTAAATTCGTTAACTTGATTTTAAAACGAACCAAGAAGTAAAATTTATTATAAGATTACGTAAGTATATAAGATGTATATACATGTGTATATATATAGATATATGTATAAAATAACAAGTATAAATAGTATAAATTATTTACATAAAAACAAATCATTTATACAATATATATTTTATATATCAATTTTTTTTAAGAACAATTATTTGTACAAAATATATTTTATATATCAGTTTTAATTTTTAAGAACAATAAGAACAATGAATTCATTGGAAATAACACGTAATAGGACAATTAGGACAATTAGGATAATTAGGACAATTAGGATAACTAGGACAATTAGGATAAGTAAGGTTAGCATTAGCCAGTTGATGATTAATCCGTTTGACCGATTTTTTTTTCTTGTTACAAATATTATTGTTTAAAGAAAATAAAAATATAAACGGTTATCACAATGTATAAATAAATACTTTTTAAGAATATTTTGGGGATTTTTTTTTTGACTTTCATATGGTTTTTTATCGTCTTTTGTTGTTTTCGAAAAATCTTAAATAAATAATGAATAATGATAAATCTATAATCGTAATCTCAATCAACCATTCACATTACGTATTACGTGATGTAAATATTTATAAAATGTTCCCATCTATATATAAGATTTCTATTTCATTTATATTATTTAATACTATCTTTCAGGACTATTCGGTAGAAATCATTGATATGAAATGAAAAAAAAAAGTAGGAAAAAAAGGAAAAATAAAACTTGATAAAATATTCCTTGAAGTGGAAAAATTTTCCGTTCGTGAACCTGCATATTCTGAAACTGCTGAAATTGTATAATCAATATCATACAGCAAATAATATTGATTTTTATTGGTCAATTTTATCGATGATGATAAGAATATATATCATATAAGGTATTTAATTGATAAGATCCGAATGATAAAAAAATTTTCGATAATCACTCATTAATTATGCAACTGATACTTCAATATTAGGTTAATTGAACTTTTATTAAAAGAATTTGATTAGAAATATTTCTCTATCTTTCTCTCACTCAAATAAAGCTTTATTTATTTTTCAAGAATGTCGGATATGATATTTTAATCTATTGAAAAAAAAAACTCAAAAAAAAAATGAAATTACACTGACACGAAGACACTGCACGATGATACTGCACGATGACATTGCACGATGACACACCGCACCGATGACGAAATTGATGATACACTGGGGCAAATTTATTTTCGTTTCCTTTTTCTCTCTCTTATTGAGGCGTACAAATAAAATAATTAACAACGATTAACAAAAATTATTGATTACTAACAATCAAAAACACAATTAACTTAATAAGGTCTTTTGCTCAACCTAAAGTTTTCCCCGTATATGCTCGCATGAAATACAAGCTCTGTTTCAAGAAAGGTTTGAAATCTCGTTATCCTCGAGGGAAAAAAAAAAGGAAAGTAGGAAAATTATTTGTTTGCATAATATTCGAAGAGAATAAAGAATTTTCAGGTTACAATTTTTTGCTTGGTCATTAAATTCCTGAGAGTAAATTTAGACAAATTTAGACTAAACAAATATTTAATCTGCAAAAAAAAAACAATTTTTGAATTCTCCGAATGGCTTTTTAAAATAAATCAAATTTTTGGGGTTTAAGTCACATCAAATATATATATATATATATATATATATATTTTCATCACAACAGTTAATCTTTAATCGTATTAGTTAATTTCCTTTTCTTGATTTTAATATAAGAAATTTCTCTTCATCTTTTTTTAAAAAAAAAAATCTATAATATTCTTCTTTATTATTATTCCAATTTATTACTTTGGTTTTGTGCAATTGGAATAAATCGGAATAAACGGAATTATTTGTAATGAATTGTAATAACGATTAGTAATTCAGAGTGTTGAATCTATGGTATTAAAGTTTTTTTATCTGAAAAGAAATTATTTAAATGTTTATTTTTTAAAAAAAGAGTATTATTTAGGTTAGTCCGCTGATCAATATTTAAAATTAAAATTAGAATTGAGATTAATTAAAAAATTTAATTTAATTTAATTAAATTTAATTTAATTTAATTAAATTTAATTTAATTAAACTTTAAAAATAACTCTCATAATAACTAAGTTTTTTAGATCTCTTTTTACTATACGATGAAATCTGATGAAGATTTGAATTTAATTTGTTAATTTGAATTTCTATTTTAAAAATTAATTTAATTCGTAATTTTTAAATTAGGACCGAATTTTAAGATGATACTCTTTTTTTTTTTTTTTAAAAAAAAAATATTTCTTTCAAGGTGAAATCTGAATTTAAGGCCATTTAGAATATAATTCAAAGTAAGATGAACCAAAGTTTTTATCTTAAATAATATTCTTAATATTCTTAAATACCAATTCTTTCTTTTTTTCTTTTTTTTACGATTTGCCTTTTTATTATTAAGAGAATAATATTAATAAATAAATGATATATCTGAGATAAAACCTGGGTAACGATGGACGACTGATGAGTTAATGAATAGTTAGTCTTTAAGATATATTACATGTAAAATTTATTTTGCCATTGTAACATACATTCAATAAATAAATAATTTAATAATAATAATCAGTTGAAAATATAGGTACATATTTAGTGTTCATAAATATTTTTTATTAATTTTATTTTTTTATTATTGAAAAAAAAAAAATTCTCGTGAAATAAATAAGCGAAAAACGAAAAAAAAACGAAAAAACGAAATTGAGTGAAACCTAAACTATTAAGTAATTTATCTGATTAATTTTTAAAAATTTGAATTTGATTAAAAGCAATAAACGAAGACGAAACGGAACCGATATAAATTTCGGAATGTAAAATTTTTTTTTTTTTTAATAAAAAAAAATATCTAAAAAAAAAAATCATAAATAAATAAATAAATGAATCTTAATCTATATGTGAATGTAAATATAAAATGCGAAATGCATAATTGAGTATTTGAGGGAGAAAGAATACTTAATGTTGAAAGAGTAATCATAAATTTAAATTCATATTGTGCATAAAGTTAATGTTAGTAGTTTTTTTTTATGAAAAGAAAAAAGATCAAAAGTCTATCAAATTAAAAAAAAATTCCATCTGCGTGCAAAATAAAATTAAATTAATTAAGAGTAAAGTAGTAAGTAATTTTAAATAAGAATTAATTGATAAGATTAATAATAAAAATGAAAATTTAACCATTGAATTGACAAAATGATTGGTATTCGACAGAAGGATATCCAACAGAAGAAGGATATTCACCAGAAGAAGAGGGAAGGTAAGGGGAAGGAGAAGGAAAAGAAGAGAAAGAATTAGGACAAGAAGATGCGGGTTGGTACGTGACAGAAGAAGAAGAAGGAGAAGGATAAGGAGAAGAAGAAGAGTATTCAACAGAAGAAGGAGAGGGAAGAGAAGGAGAAGGAGAAGGAGAAGGAGAAGGAGAGGGAAAAGGAGAAGAAGAAGTAGGGCCAGACGAAGAAGAAGGATAAGAAGGAAGAGAAGAAGAAGAAGGATAAGAAGGAGGAGAAGGAGGAGAAGAAGCAGAAGAAGTAAGAGGAGGAGAAGTTGTGGATTGGTACATAATAGAAGGAGGAGAAGGAGGAGAAGAAGCGGATTGGTACATAACAGAAGGAGGAGAAGGAGAAGAAGTATATTGGTATACAACGGAAGGATTGAAAATTTGATCACTTAATATTATTTCCCTAAACATTTCTTCCGAAATATTAGTAATATTATCGGATGGAATTATAAATTGATTCCAATCAAACCCATTCTGTGATATTTCTAAATTTGAAGGATTCGGAAGACGATATTCCGGCATAGGGGAAGGGGGTATTGGGGAATATTGTGGTGAAGCAGGAATAGATTGAACTACTGGTAAGGTATATGGACTATTCCGGTGTTGTTGTCGTTGGTGTTGGTGATTCGTCTTACTCTTTTTCTTCTGGGTGAGAACCATTTCGCCATAATTCTCCGAGCTCAGAACATGGAAATTAGTTTCCTGGGAAGGAATTGAGCCCTTAGGACGGTAATCATACTCAGGAAACATTGCAGCATGAATTGTTTTGAATTCTTTTTGTAAATTTAAAAAAATGTCCCAGTCTTTTCTCTCAGCGCCCCAACGAATCATTTGTGCAATCCTGGTGCATGCTTTACCATCTCCCAACTCTACATAGAAGGAGGAAATCTTACGAATAACTAAAGTTAAAATCATAAAAGAATTCATTGGGCGTGGCGGATTTTTTCCTCGACGTCTTACTTTCGGATATAACTCGAAAGCAGAAATCGAAGGGTCAAATATGCGGCTCCTAGGTATTTGATGAATTATCTTTATCAAGGAGTCATGACTTGCATCAGGAGAGCGACCTTTTTTGTCGATTGCCACTTTTCCTTCCCATTCTTTACTATACATTTTTTATAAATTTCTTTGTTAATTACTACCGATGTGACGGAGAAAATAATAATATAGAAAAAAAAAAAGGAACTATTGGAATGTAAGGCAAATGGTGAGAAAAAAAATTTAAAAATAAAAATAATTCTGTTTGTTCTAAATTTTCATCAGCCCTTTTTATAGAGATCAAAAAATGCAGTATTAGAAAATACCTCCGAATATTATATCATTTTAATTATTAATTATAATGATGATGATACTAACTTATATAAGTGATATGTGATATACATATATATATAAACGGTGGTTCTAAGTTAAATAAATATAGTTATTTATATTATTTATAATATTTTAATATAGTTATTTAAAGTTTGGTTATAAAAAGATTTTGAAATTAAATAATGTAAATATTTATATAATTTATATAAACAAAAAAATTAACCTATGATATTTATCTAAAAATAAATTTCATATACTAAAATAACAAATAAATATAGTAAAGATATTTAATAAATATTAAAACTTTTATTAAATTATTAATAAAAATTTATACTGACAATCATTGTTCAATTAATTAAATAAATTGATTAGATAAATTAAATAATAAATTAATAAGATAAATTAAATAATAAATTAATAAATTGTCATCCAAATAAATATAAACCATAGGATCATTGTAAAATAAAAATTTCTATACATGGTAAATATTTATATCTCATTTGGGTAATTTTTTTTTTTTTAAAAAAAAATTTATTTATTTTTACTTGGCAATAATTGATTCATTTTTTTAAGTTTATTTTTAAAGTACATTTTAAAAAAGTATATTGTAAATATACTGTTAAAATATGCGTTAAAAGTATATTTCATTTCATTTCATTTCTTTAAATTATATTTAGTGTATATTTAGATGACCTAAACTGAGAGATAATGGCTGATTTGTGTTTAATTACCCCTACCGAAGATCCAAAAAAGTTTTTATTGTGACATATATCTAACATTTTAATTATTTTATAATCCGTTTCGTATTTCTTTTTTTTTTTTTTTTTATTTTTTTATAAAAAAAAAAAACTCGAGATTCCAATTTTCAATAGTCCTCAATAACGTTCAATGGGACGACATAGAGAATTTCCAATCTCGACTCTCGTATATACTATTTACATACATGTTTTCGGATTCTATCAACCGAAGCAGCTGATAAGTAAGCACGTATTAAGTTTGTGGGAGTTGACCCCTAGCTTCTTTACACCCAATTTAAATCAATTTTAGAAGGATAAATAATATATAATAAAATAAATATAGCAAATAGAATAAAATATAAATATAAAATTGATAAAATTGATAAATATTGCATGTGGTGCATATGAACATATCAACTATATGAATATATCAATTATTTTAACTAACCAAATTTAACAATTACCAGGTACATTTTTTTTTACGAATTACAAAGAAAAATTCAAATTTATCACCAAAAAAAAAAAAGAAAAAGAAAAAGTCATTGAAAAAAATATATTAAATTTTTATTGATTAAAATTTTGACAGCTTCTTCTACGTAAATCTATACTTTATTTTAGAGGTATCAATTATCAATTCATAATTATGATAGATAATGCAGGGCCCATTTTTCTTATATAATAAAGCCACAAAAAAAAATGATTTGGGATTACCGAATTACTTTGGTTCGACTTTATATATATGATTTTTCTAGACGAACAAAGAAACAGAAAATTTTAATATTCATAAATATTTTCATTTCCGTTCATCAATCATTTATTTATATTTATTCAATATTTGCTTATTAATTTGCATAATATTTATTATTATTATTATTATTATTATTATTTATTATTTATTATTATTATTATTATTATTATTTATTATTTATTATTATTATTATTATTATTATTATTATTATTATTATTTATTATTTGTTTATTTATTTATTTATTTCTATTTATTTAATATTTTACAGTATTAATTTTATATATATATAACCAAAAGAATAGAAATTACATTAACTTATAAAAGAAAGAAAAAAGAAAAGAAATGTGTTATCATTTTGCGCACAATGGTAAAAATATAACCCAAATAAACCAAATCTGGGATGTCATATGACTAATAAATTGAATGCATCTTATTAATCTTTTATTAAAATCTTATCAAGAAAATCATATTTAATCATATTTAATCATATTATTTTGTAAAGACGTCGTTCTCGATTTTCTTATTAGATCACATAATTTACGACTAATTTTGTGAATGTAATTTATCGTTTTTTTCACATGATTAAAGTAATAAGAATTATACATAAAAATAAAAATAATTTTTAATTAAAGCAATAATAGTAATAATAATGATAATGATAATAATAATAAATAAATAATAAAATAAAAATAATAATCGTAATAATAATAATAATAATTATAAATAATGATGATGATGATAAATAATAATTAATTGGTTCTTGATCCACAGAAAAGATCTTTAGCCGTAGCATAAAAAAAAAGAGATCCTCGCCAAATTAAGTTTTTAATTCTCAGAAAATGAAATTATTCTAAAAATGATACAATATGAAACGAAATTTTATCAACCGATTTTTATAATGTAAAATGAAAAAATTATATAGTAATATTGTGTTATGAACTCCATACTTGATGTTGCTAATTTGAGAAGATACTCAAAAAAAAAATTGAAGGTTAGCATATCTATTTATTATTTATTTATTTATTTATTAATTTTATTTTTATTTTGATATTTTGATTTTTATAAATGAAGTGATCTTCACAATGTGATTTTTAATTTTTTTGGTGATTATAATTCAAAATTTCATATTTCCTCCTGTTTCATCACTGGGATAATAATAATAATAATAATAATACATGGTATAAATATTTTATGTGGGAAAATAAATAGTATATAAATATTTAGGTAATAAATATTTAGGTAATAAATAGATAATATGTAATGTATTGGTAATGGGGATAATTTTTTAATTTAATTTAATTAATAATTTCTCAATTATCTTAGATTTAAATGCATAAACATTTGACGGACGGACGATAATAAGAAATGAATAATCAGTTAATTTAAAAAATTGTTTATAATTTAATTTCGGTTTTAATATAATAATAGATTCATTATTTTAAAGTTTTATTAAATCAATTAAAAATTTACGTGACATAAAACTATTTCTCTGAGTTGACGCCAAAGATTTAGATATCTATACAAATATATCTAACTATACATACATATATGACCATACAATAAAAACAAAAACATAAATCATAAAAAAATGTACGATTTTAACTGGTCTTTGACATATATTGTTTACGTTTTTATATGTATATATATATATATACTTATTTATTTACATATATGTATTTACATTAAACAATAAAATAATCTTGCATTAAGGGCCGTGTTTATGTTGTTGCTATGCGCTTTTCCCTTTTTTTTTTTTTTGGCTGCTGTTATTATTGTTTGTTGTTGTTGTTTTTTTTTTGTTTGTCAGATGACAATGATATTTAAATAAAAATATGGTAAATATATCGAAGATTCGGGGGGAAGTTGGTTAAATGGAGTAAAACTCTGTAAAATGTGGTAAAAAAAATGTGTATATGTACATGACATGTAAAGGAAATGGTTGTATATGAAAGAACCGTAAGTATTAATAAATCAACAAATATTTTTTACATATTTTTTATATATAAAATATATTATTGGGGACGTCGTACGCGTTTATTACGCATATTTAATAAACGATTAAATCATTTAATGCTTGCTTATCCGCATATATGATTACGTATTCCGATAGGCAGGTATGGAGAGCATTGTTGTTGATGTGCGGGGTAATGTAAATATACATTTATTTTTTCTTATCTCTATTAATTTATAAATATTTGTACACGCGACATTAACACATTGATTACATTAAACGCACATCAAAAAAAAAATTTTTTTTTTCTAGATTTCTATAAAAAAAAACAATATGATTTATAATTCGTTTTATTCCACGTATACAATTAATTAATTAATTAAAATAAATAAATAAATAGTAAGATTAGGTATTAATATATTTATTACTTAAATTATTTTATTTATTATTTAAATTATTTTGTTTTTTTTTTATTATTAAATTATTTATTTTATTTAAATTATTAAATTAAATTCGTGTCTGTCTTTTTTTTTTCATGCACATTATTACTATTATTATTATATATTGTTATTGTTATTTTACGATCTTATGACTTCTATTGATTACGAAATAATTAATTATTTTATTGTGCACTTTATTTATTCTATTTGTTTTTTTCATTTATTTATTTTCTCAATAATTTATTTTTCTCATTCCCCACAAAAATCACGATGAAGAATTACTTATTATTATTTGTAAACAAAGGCCAAGGCTATAATAATTCACATGCCTATGCCAGAATAATACATCACATGCTCTTTGGCACATAGACAAAATAAACATCATGACAATCATGTCTTGAATAAAGGTGGAACTAGAAAAAAAAATAAATAAATAAAAATAAATAAATAAAAAAAAAATAAATAATAATTACTAAAATAATAAGAATTAATTTATTAAATTTAATTTTATCACATGAAAAAAAATGAAAAAAAATGATCAGGCTGAGCGAGTCGTTCTTATGATATCATCAAATGAGTCAAATGACTAATAATAAATCTGCAAAGTGAACTACTCCGAATCCACTTAATCTCTAATTGACTATAATTGACCAGAATTTTACTATAATTGAAAATTAACAACCAACGATTGGTTTTTATTTAAAATTAAAATGTGAACGAAATTAATATAAGTGAATAAAATGAATAGAATGAATAGGAGTGAACGGAAGAACGAATGAATGAATGAATGAATGAATGAAATAATAAATAAATAGAAGGAATGATAAATAAGAAAAATAAGAAGGAATGTTAATTATAGTAAATCTTGGTCCAATTATTAGTCAAATTACATAATAATAATATTCGTTAAATTATTTATGTATGACAATCATGAGCGCTTAAACCTTTTAGTCTTTATCCAGCCTGCGTAGGGAAAATCCATTTTCCCGAAACTGCAGTCTTACATTTAACGCGGACAACTCGGAGTTGTTTTATTCTCTATTTTCTTTATTGTGATTCCCTTTTTTTTTATTTCTTTCTATTTCCGATCTTACCTAACCATCCTCATCATCAACCTCTTCTTCTACTTCTTTTTAACACCCATAATAATCTCCTTTTACTTTTTACCATCCATAATCATCGTCTTCATGAATCTGGTTCGGGCGTTGATAAAATAAATAAATAAAAAAAAAAGTTGTGAATTTTCTTTGTTAAAATATTTCCCGAAATTATTTATTTTTTTTTTTTTGAAAATTCTTTATCTATTAACACTTTATTTCTGTACCGTTTTATTTTAACAAACATTACGGATGCCACCGTAAAAAATAATAATACTCTTATCTATTATGGAAATTAAATTTGGGTTTTCTAAAAACAGTATTTAGTAATAATAATAATAATATTTATTTATTTATTTTTTTATTTATTATTTAATTTAATTTATTTTTTCTAAAAAAAAAACATAACCGATTTTATTAAAAAAAAAAAAAAAAACTAAATTATTAAATTAATTAAGTTAAATTAATTAAATTAATTAAAATAATTAAAATAAAACTAATTCAACTAAACTAATTTAATTTAATTAAATTAATTAAAAAATAAAATATTTAAAAATAATTAGAATAATCAAAATAAAGATGATTAAATTAAAAAAAATTTTTTTTTTTTTATGACGATGATACCATAAGTAAATCAATCAATCCAATGGAATCATAATACAAAAGTATATTTTGAACATTTTCCGATAAATTATTTCCAATTATAAATTTAAAAGGTGATTTAAGATTAATAATATTTTGTTGTTGTTGTTGTTGTTGATGATAATTCTTCATTACATTAATTTTATAACTTTCCAAAAAATTAACTATAGAATTTTCATTATAAGACCAAAAGAATAAACCCAAACAAATACTTTTCAGGTGACTCGAAATCCCCGAAGAATCAAAATGATCACATAACAAGAATAATAATTCACTAATTTCCATCCTTTCAATTGGATCACCTAATAAATTTAATTCTTCTAACAAAGGGCATGAATTAAATAAATTGATAATTTCGATGATGGATTCATTTGGAACGAATAAACTTAATTTCAAAAGGTTCGGACAATTCTGAATTATGGTGAGAAATAAGTGAGATGAATTTTCGGGATCCAAAGGATTTGAAATTATTAAATTAATTATTTGAAGAGATTTTTGAGAATTTTCAATTAAATTGATATAATTTAAAATACTTTGATTTTTAAGATTAACAATTTCTAATTTGGTTAATTTATTAAAATTATTATTATTAAGAAGATTATTATTATTAAGATTAAGATTGAGATTGAGAAGATTAGGCGAATTGAAATTATTATTATTATTATTATTATTAATCTTATCTTTGATATTTTTGATATTTCCAGGTAATCGATTTTCTGAAATTCGTCTTTCAATTTGAATTTGTATAGCGTAAGAATGAGTCACGGATATTGATCTTTGATTAATTCTTAGAATTTTCATTGTTCCAGTTTGATGATGAACAACAAGTTCATAAGTGAAACGAGTATTGAAATAATTATCAATGAATTGACCACCATCATCAGATCGAGCATTGGGACAACTGAATCGACAATGTTTTATTTCGGATTTTGGAACCAACAATCGTTGTGTTAAGGCTTGTAAATATAGTAAATTTTGAATTTCCGTTACGACCGATGACGATGAAGAAGAAGAAGAAGAACGACGAGATTGATAATGATGAATTAAAGATAATTCATCCAAATTTGAAAATTGATGATGATTAAAAATTTCCAAAGATAAAGATTGAGTGGTAATTCCGTGAATAATAATTTTCCTTAAAGTATTTCTTTTATTTAAAAGGATTGAATTAATTTCTGTTATTTGATTAGTGAATCCGGTAATAATTAATTGATGTAAATTAATTTGTGAATTAATTAAATTTAAAATTTCACTATTATTATTATTATTATTATTATTACTCATATTACTCGTGTTATTGTTATAATAATTAATTTCTCCTCGATGAAATTCTATGCATTTAAGTGAATTTATTCTTTGAGATATTTCCAAAAATAATCCTGATGGAATTTTACCTATAATTAATTGTTAATAATTATAAATAATTAAATTCTCTCGTAAATTTATATTATTACATATGTTAATATTAATATATAATAATTAATAATAATTGATAATAAATAATAATAAATAAATAAATAAATATTCAATAATAAATAAAATAATTATTAATAATAAATGATTAAAATTAGAAAAACATACCTTGACAACAAAATCTTTTTAAATTCCCGAAGATTTTATTAATTTGTAAATCTTGAAAAATTTGATTAATCACATTTTCGAATTCCAATTTTTCATCTTCTATCATGAATGATGAATCAATGTACCCATTATACTCAATTGATTTAAGGCATTTACTTTGATCAAAGAATAATTTACATAATTCAATAAAAATTATCAATTTCTTATCAAGATTTCCGTGTTTTTTTCTTCCCAAATAACAAATGGATTTTATTAAAAAGGAATAATTCAAATTATGTAAAAATGTTGCATAAGCAAATGTTAAATTATTATTATTATTATTATTATTATTATTCTCATTTTTCTCATTATTATTATTATTATTATTATTATTCGTTATTGTCACCACCGCCGCATTGTCGTTGTTGTTGTGGTTGTCGTCGTCATTATTATTATTAAATATATTATATAAATTAATTTTTTTTTTCGACTCATCCGATAAACAAGATAAATAAATTTTTATTAAAGAAATCGTTTTGATTACTTTGATTTCTTTATCTAGGTTAAGAACATATTCGAAGGGATTTTTCCATAAGCAGAATATAGAATTTAAACACCAATTCCGATTAACTAATACACAAGAGTGTAATGATGTTATTTCCAGGTGGTTAAAGATTTTTTGATAAATTTCTGGAATTAATATCATTTTTTTTTTTTTTAAAAAAAAAAAAAAAAAAAAAAAAAAAATCTATTTTATTTCACGAGGGAAAAAAAAGGAAATTCCAAGTTGTACAGTTCATCTCGATAGTGATAATTGATAATCTTGTCGTTTGAATATCGATAAAATTAAGTGTCACGAACAACAATAATATTATTATTATTAAAGTGATACAACAATAATAATCGATAACAGATCTCAATAACAATTCACACAATAACAATTAGGGATAATCAACAAATCAAAATAAATTGTAATAATGATAAATTTGAATTTTTAGTTAGTTAGAATCAAAAAATATATATATATATTTTGGAAAAAGAAGAAAGTTTGGGAACGGTCGAGAACACTCTGAAACAGGTATTGGATTAAAACGAGTTAAATCATTTTTGAAACAAGGGAAAAAAAAAAATAAAATTTCTCTCAGTTATACATTTTAGTTAAATACATCTTAGTAAGTATTTTAGTTTTTGCATAAAGTTTACATTTTTGTTATTTTTGTTAGTACATTTTAAGTTTAAGTTAACATTTTTTTAAATGTATATTTTAGTATAAATATTAAATATAAATATTAGTAGATCTTTTTTAAGTTTTATATATATATATATTAGTTATACATTTTAAGTTAACATTCATTTAGTATGTTTAAGAATTTTTTTATTTCAAAATTAATTAGGATTCTCGGCGCGAAACGATTTTATCTCTCCTTTCAAAAACAAACTCAACTCAAATAATTTAAAACAAAACTAAAATAATAATTATAATTATATATTTACTATATATATTCTCGAAGACAGTTAATTATTATTAATTTATTTATTATTATGATAATTATTACTAATTCATTATTACTAATTAATAATAATAATAATATTATTATTATTATATTATTATTATAATATTATTATATTATTATTATTATTATTATATTATTATTATTATTTATTATTATTTATTATTATTTATTATTATTATTTATTATTATTATTATTATTAAGTTATAAAAGAAATTGAATTTTTAAAAGAAATATATTCCAATAAGAGAAAATAAAAAATCGCAGGTAAAAGATATGCAAAGTAAAGTTATGCATCAATAATAATAGATCTAAATTCAATTCGCTAATTACTGTAATTGTTTTTTTTTCATAATATTAAACAATAAACATAATAAACAAAAACTGTAATTCTCCCCATTCGGTAATCCCGAAAAATTACGAATATTATTTGACAATAAAAAAAAAAAAAAAATATTATCGGAAAATAAAATAAAATAAGGTAAATAAAATAAATAAAATAAAAATAAATAAACAGTCCCTGCACAAATGATCAACCTTATATCCAAAATTATTATGATCATTTATGTCGGTTTCATTTTTTTCACAACGACAAACATTCACTTACATACATTCACCTACTTTTTCACTTTTAAAACTTTTAAAACGAAACTTTCATTCATTTTAAATGTCATTTTAAATGACATTTTAAGTAAGAATATGCTATGCAAGTCTGAATATGTATGTACTCGCAAAGAAAATAATAAAATCAATATTACATATCTAATATATAATTTACAATTATTAATACGGTATCATCAAATCAATCAATCGTAAGTTATTATTATTAATATCAATTGCAAAAAAAAAAGTGTTTTTATTTTTATTTTATTTTTATTTTATTTTTTTATCATAATAATAAAGAATAATAATAAATGTAATAAACATGTAAAAATTATCATAATATACCGTGACGAAAAAAATCTAAATTATTCATTTTTTAATCCCTTTTTTTTTATAAAAAAAAAAATTATATATATTTCTATATACTAATAAATCATAATAATCATATATATCATTATATATTTTATTTTTAATAATTAACTAATCATCATAATCATAATAATAATAATAAATTTTTGTTTTTGTTAATTTTGCTGCGGTGTCCAGAAACTAAAATAATAAGAAAATAATTGATTTGGATCTTCGAAGTTATCATCTTCGTGATTATGATTTTGATTTTGATTATGATGATGATGATTGTTATCAGAATATTGATTTGAACTTAAATGACTTAAATTTTCTTCTCCTTCCAATTGTCTATTTTCCATATTATTATGATGATGTTGATGATGATGGGGATTGTTATTATTATTATTGTTATTATTATTATTATTATTATTATTATGATTATTTTCATTAATTGGAGTATTGGGAGTATTAATTGGTGTATCAATTGGAGTAATAATTGGAGTACTAATTGGAGTATTAATTGTGGGTGGAGAAATTTGAAAAGTTTTTTGATCAAATGAAAGAATTGGTGGATCCGAAATTTGAAAAGTTTTTTGACCAAATGATGAATTAATTATTGATGGGGGTGAATTAATTGGTGTCGAATTCATTGTCGATTGTTGATTTATGGTGTTGTTGTTGTTGTTGTTGTTGTTGTTGGTGATGGCGGGATTTGGAATTTGTGGATTATTTTGTTGAAAGGATTTATTGTGATGTTCCATAATACTAAAAACTGTAGAAGGAGGAATTGGAATTTGATATGGTTTATATGCCACAGGTCTTAAAGGTGTATTCTTAATATTATTATTGACATTCTTAATGTTATTATTGATATTCTTAATATGATTATTATTATTATTATTATTATTATTATTCTTATTATTAATTGTATTTATATTCGCATTCGTATGAGATGATGATGATGCCGACGCAACAAGTGTTTGTTGTCTGTAAAGAACGGTATGCCTTTGTACGTGAATTTCATTTACTTGGTCAGCAAGTCTTTCATAAACTTCTTTCTCTTCTAATGATGCATTTCTCCATAAAATTCCTGTAACTTTACTTATCACTCGCATATTACAAGTACCTCGTCTTTTTGCTTCTTGATGAACATTCTTTCGGCATAAAAGAAATGCATTTGGAGGACGTCGAGGTCTTCGAAGGCAATGAGAATTGTTATTATTATTATTAGTGCCACTATTGGTAGTGTTATTAATATTATTGTTATTATTGTTATTATTGTTGATATTGGGAATAGCAGCAACAAAATATTCAGGATTATTAAATTCAGGAGGAAAAATCTTTGCGCGGTCTAATCTGACAATTAAAGCAGTCGCTAGATCTTCGATTGAAAAATTTGAGGTTGTCATTATTTTTTTTTTTCTTTTTTCCTTTTTCCTTTTTCCTTTCTTTTTACAAGATTTACAATAGATAGATTTTATATTTATATGTGTATTTTGATATATTATGTAAAGATATGTAAAGATATGTAAAGATATGTAGAACTATGTAAAAATGTTGTTATTATATTATTACGAAATCAGAAAAAGGATGGCAAACAATTGCTGCTTCTTTCTTCTTTGAGATCAACTTACAAATCCTAAAGAAAATAGAATTTTTTTTGGGAAGTTTGGGGGTCGGGCTCAACGTTCATTCTTATTTATAAGAAAATATTATAGAGTATTCTTAAGCATATAAAAATATACGATATAAAATTTAAAGTATAAAAAATTTTATTATTATTATAATAAAAAAAAATATAATGTACTGATAAAAAGATTTTTATTTTGAAACAAACTAAATTCCAAATTGTATTGTATTGTAACTAACTGAAACGTCTTTTTTTTTTTTTTTTTTTTTTAATCAAAAAGTTAAGGAATTTAATAAAATATTTATAATAATTTGTAATTAATAAGTAATAATAGTAATAATAACTTTTATATATTTCAAAACTGACTCTGACTGAACTAAAAAAAGATAAAATAAAAAAGATTGATTATCAATATTTTTTTAAACTACTTATCTATTAATAGAATTTTTTTTTCCTTTCCATGTGTAAATACTTCGCTTGGGAATTTAATTAGAACTGGTTTAGTTTGGTTACCATAATAAGATAATATTTGTTTGTATTATAATTATAGTTTTATATATTTGTAAAGTTAAATAGTATTTTTTTATATACTATTTTTATATAATATTTTTATATAATATTTTTATATAATATAGTTATTTTAAATAATATCTTAATATATCTTAATAAATAGTTATTTTGTATAGTATAAGAAGAAATTATAATAAAAATGATAGTAATTAGAATGACTTTATAATGACTTTATAATGACTTTATTATTAGATATTATTATTATTATTATTATTATTAGATATTATTATTATTATTATTATTAGATATTATTGAAAATAAATAAAAAAGAAAATATATCATCGTCGTGATTATCGCGACGAGTCGTGATAGAAACCGTGATTACGGGACGTGATTAGAAAATGAAAATTAAAGGGAGTCTAATAATAATAATAACAACAGATGATAATAAGTAAATGATGAATTTAGATGAATTAATTAATAAATAGTAATAATGAATTATATATTAAAAATCTATTATGTATATTTTCTTTTTTTTTTTTATTTCTTTTTGTCTCCTTTTTTTTTTATAAAAGGGACCAATCATATCTTTTTAATCAATTTGTTATTGTTATCAGAAATATTTCATATATCGTATTTATTGTTATTACTTTTAACGACTCCCTTGGTTTAGGCAAAAATTTGGATCTTGCCATTTTTGATAAAACTCAAAAAATTTCTATACTCGTGACTTAAGGATTTCGAACCAATTAACTGATTATATATTTATTTATTATATATACTTTACTTATTATATATATTTTTTTTTATTATTAGCTTTATTTTATTGTTTATTGTAGTTTATTGTTTATTGTGATTTTTTTATTGTTTATCGTTGTTTATTGTATTCTTTATTTAACTAAGATATTAACGATATTTAATGATGTTTAATACACTAGAAATAGATTTTCTTGACCCGATCTCTCTTATTCTCCATATTTTTTTTTTTTTTTTTACAAATTTTTAAGATTTTTCTTTTTTTTTTTCTAAAGAAAAACAAGAAATTGCGTAAAATGGGATTAGTGAAATTTTTTCTATTGACTAATAAACTTAGCCACAAATTAAATATATATTTGTTTAAATTATTTAATTACGAAAGAAAACCTTCCCTTCCACGGGCACGCATACATAACACACATGGAAACACACAGAACAAAACAGAACAAAATAATAACACACAGACAAAGAACGACCCTTTAGTAAAGATTAAAAAAAAAAAAAAAAAATGCACTTTTTGGATGACGATCAAACCTGTTCATATCTAGTTTATATAAAAATATTCTCATTTTTCAATTGCTTTGATATCATTTAAAATTCAACCTAATTTGATCCTTTCATAATTTTTTCACGTGTTATTTAAATCTGTCAGCAGAAATATGTGTTATTATTATTATTATATTTATTTAGATAGATAGATGGATATATATATATAGTTATTAGATAGATAGATATATTATATATATATAATCAAAGTTTGATATATAAAATTCCCCATTTTTTTCGAACATGTATTTTAATAATAATTCGAAAAATATTACATCATAAATATCATAAATCAAATGCTAAATATACCATAATAATCCAATAAACTCTAGTTACGTGTTTTCCTTATTATTAATTATTATTATTTTATTTTTTTTTTCATATTAACAAAATAGGAATAATTGCACAACCAACACCACATTTTTGATTCATTCAATCAGTATTACGGATCTACTTTATCTTTTTTGAGGTAAATAATAATAATTCCCGACAGCACGGATCCCATTTTTCTCATTAGGGATTAATGTCAACAAACAAAAAAAAATGGGTGTTTAAACAACGAAAAAAAAAAGCTGGTATCTGCAGTTCGATAAAGAGTTCGTTATCAACTCTCTCTTCTATATATTAATATTATTTTTACCATTTTTATTTACTTCCAATTACTTCCAATTACTTCCAATTACTTCCATTGCTTTCTTCTTACTGAATCCATAAATGTAATCTATTGAACCCGTAAACGTAATAGATAAATAAATAACGGATATAGACGTAATTAGATAAATAAATAAATAATAATAATAAATGACATGACCAAGATAAAAAATATTCGTAATAAATAATAATAATAATAAATAATAGATTATTTGTATAGATTAAAAGGGAAATCCGTAACACGCCAAGAAACATCATCTACTAATTTTACTTAATTTATCATTTAACTAGTCAATAATGGTTAATCATACTTTGGTATAAATCTCCTTTTTGGAAAGATATTTTTTTTTCCAATCAAGAAAAAAAATGCGTCGACTTCTTATTTTGTTTTTATTTTACGATTAAACTAAGCATTTACATACATTTGACAATTACAGGAATTACAATTAGATAGGCAACGTGTCAAAAGCTAAATAATTTGATATATTATTATTATTTTTTTTTTCTTTCACTTATTTATTTATTTATTCATTATTGGTTATCAATACATTTTTATATACAGTATATTATATTTATATATTTATAATTATTAATTATTATCGATTTTTATATTATTATCAATTTTTTATATTATAATTATTCAATTTTATATTATTATTATTATTTATTAAATTAAATAAGGAATTTAAAAAATTAATTAACCAGTAAAAAATGATTAATTTTTACAAATTAAGAAAACCCAACAATTACTGAATGATATCATCATAACATAATATATATGTACATCCCTTTTATTCATTTCTTTGTAGTAAGTAAAGTAAAGTAAGGAGTGAGGGGTGAGGGAATGAAGGGAATGAAGGAGTGAAAAGAAGAGGAAAGAGAGAAAAGGAGAAAAAAAAACATTATTAGATAATATTGAATAATATGATGTGACTGACAGATCATATGTGCGTATTGCCAAAACTTTATTTTATTTTATTATTATTATTATTTTTATTTATATATATATATATATATATTTTAACTATGATATTACCCTTTCCTATTGAATAACTATTAATGAAATGATTTTTTTTTATAATGTACCCTTAAAAAACTAATTTTAGCAACTTCAGGTTTTTTTTTCTCAACACGTAATTCGCGTAATGTGCGGAAAAAAAATTTAGCTTTTCGTTTGAATTGTTTTTTTTTGTTTTTTTTTTGTTATAATTGTTATATTGATTGATTATCGTACAGACAAAGACTTTATAATAATAGTTAAACGATAATCTGTTTATAGTTAATTCATTATTTAATATTTATTCTGTAATTCTTGTAAAATAATTATAATAATAATAATAATAATAATAACTGATAAATAATAAATAATTGATAATAATAATAATAATAATAATAATAATAATAATAAATAAATAATTGATAAACTATATCATATTTGTATTGAATTCAAGTATTCAATTGAACCCTAAAATATTTTAGTAGATTGAAGAGAATCGTTTCCGAACAAAAAAGAACAAAAAAAGGAAATATAATTCAATTTAAATATTATCAATAATTTTTTTAATCCAGGTTTGTGTGTGATATTCCCCCATATTGATTGATATGGGAGTGGAGTAAATGTAACACATATGTACATTGATGATGATTAAATTTTTCGTAATTATAATAAATAAAAAATAATAATAAAACAATAAATAATGTTATTCATTGATTGATTCAGTAAAGAAAGTTATTACATCTAAAAACCTTTTTGTTCTATTTATTTAATTATTTTTTTTTTTATTTAATTATAATATCAATGATTCAATTTATTACTTAACTAAAACCATTAAACCTCAATAGTCTTATCATTGTTGTTAAACTTGTGGTATTGAGGATATGGTTTGTCAAGAAAATATTCCATTGAAAGATAATGAAGTGGAGAATGAATAAAGTGAAACCGTTAATTCGAAAACAAGTTGAAAATTTTTTTCTTTCGAAATTGATTTTGATTCTATGATTGCATCAGGAAATTCTATAGTGACAAAAATATCGGAAAATCACGTACTATAAAATTTCCTAATGTGGTAATTGGAACAATAAATAAATATTTTCATTGAAAAAAGTTTCCTTTTTTTTATGAAACAAAACAAAACTGGTTTTTTCTTTATTTATTTATTTTTTTCTTCATCTAATTTACAGAAGGAAGAGATTTTTGAATTCTCACCAAATCATTATAATCATCATACAATTATTATCGTTATTAGTCAAGAACTTTTTTAAAGTTCAAAATCTCCCGCCAGCCTGTCTGGATGATGACCTGTGTTATGACCTGATGTGCATAATCCCTCAAAATAGAAACCATTTATGGTTAAGGTTTTTGAATGGCGAAAGGTTAAATTTTTGACAAATTATTATTATTAAAAATGTTAAAACATTATTATTATTATTATTATTATTATTATTATTATTGTTATTAATATACCTGTTGAAACCTGACGTTTAACGAAATTATATTTAAATTAAAGTTATATTAAAAAAAAAAAATAATAACAAAAACTATAAGTCAAGTTAACACTGTTAATAACTTTGTGGATGGATTGTTACAATATTTTTCAGAGACAATTTTTTTTTTTTAAAAAAAAAAAATTGAATAGAGGTTTTTACTTTTCTTTAACAAACACAAACCATATGACAATCCCAAATGTCGGCCAGGGGGAAGTTTTCTAGTTGAAGAAAAGTATCACCAGAAATAACTCCTTATAACATTTTAATGAACAAAAGAAAAGTATTCTTCGACACATTCCAAAAATCTTTTAAAGCAAACCATATGAAGTCTATACAGAGATATAAGTTAATAAGTATATTTAACGAATTGTTTCATGAATATTAGAGGTACTTTTCCTTTTATTCTTTGCTTTTTTTTGAAATCTATGTCCCATGTGGAAATTTGAAGATACCTGGTCTTTGGATTAAGTCTTATTCTTATTTTCGAAATTTTCTTCTAAAGTTCTTTGTATAACGCAAAAAAAAAAAAAAAAAAAAATTGGTGAGTCGATCCGTGTTCCATTTAATCTCCTTCGTCACGACATGTTGGCGGCTATTTATACTTTTCCCCAGACGTTCCAGAGAAATTTTTAGCATTTGAAAATTTTCCGTCACACGGACCTATTAAAATAAAGTTACATATTTCAATTTATGTTTTGTACAGTTAACAATTCTAAATATATCTAAGCAGTGTAATACTTGATTGTATATCAAAGGGCGATAATCTTTTGTGTGAAAAATTTTTTTTTTTTTATTATTCATTAAATTCATTCAAATAATAAATAATGCATTGTCATAATTTTCTTACCAAATTCATATTTCGGAACATTTTAAATTTAAAGTATGTATGTATTAAAAATTATTTTCGAAGGTTATTTTTTATCATTATTATTAAATTCGAATTCTAACGGAATTGAATTTCCTTTTTTTTTTTTTTTTTTTTTTCTAATGTGAAAATTCCTAGTGTACGTAAAGTTGGAATCAAATCTAGTGGTATATTAAAACAAAAGAATTATGAATTTCTTAATTCATTACCAGATAATGTAAAGAAAAGAATCATCGATTCGGAAAGAGAGGAAGTTAACATGATGAACAAATTTAAAAGGCCTAGATCGAATAATGATTATTCAAGAAAGTATTCAAGATTTGATAATTCCGACGATTATATGATTCGAATGAATCAAAGAACAAATTTTGATGTAAATAATAATAATTTTAACACAAGAAACACAAGAAACTCATATGAAAGTTATGGTCGTTATGATCATTATGATCGTTATGATCGTTATAATCGTTATGATCGTTATGATCGTTATGATCGTTATGATAATAGTAGAAACAAAAGAATAAATTTTAACAATATTAATAATAATGTGGACAAAAGATTTGAATTTAACATGAGTAAAAGATCAAATATTAACAAATCAGATGTCAGCACCACAACAAATGAAAATAAAAATCAAATATTAAAACTTTCGACAACATCCATTAATAACAAAGGTGATTCTCCTAGCAAACAACAATCGTGTCAATTAGAAACAAGTCAACCAAATCAATTAGAAACAAATCAACCAAATAAATTAGAAACAAATCAACCAAATAAATTAGAAACAAATCAACAAAATCAATTGGAAACGAGTCAACCGGAAATGAGTCAAATATCAACTAATCAACAACCAAATCAATCATCAAGTCAACCATCAAAAGGTGAACCAAGTGAACCATCAAAAAGCGAACCAAGTCAACAGTCAAAAGATAAATCCAATCAATTAAGTAAAATAGAACCGAGTCATCTAACCTGGACGGAAGAAGAAAATAAACGGTTATTAAAATTAATAGAAAAATATGGTCCAAAATGGCATATACTTGCTAAATTTTTTAATCGTCCTCACGATATTGTCTGTTATCACTATTCCGAAGTACTCTCAAAACTTATTACTACTAAAAAAATCGTAAAATTTTCAAAACCTTCAAAAATTAAAGAATTAAAATCATCCCCTACCCCAACCAAAAATAATGACAACAATAATAATGACAAGAACAATAATAATAACAATGAAAATAATAAAAATAATAATAACGATGAAAATAATAATAAAAAAAATAATAATAATGAAAATAATAATATCAAAAGTAATAATAAAAATAATAAAGAAACTACTTCCCCTCCTGGTCCGATACCTTGGACAGAAGAAGAAAATAAACGTTTATTCGAATTAATAGGAACATATGGTCAAGATTGGTATAAACTTGAGGAATTTTTTAATAATCGTCCTTACTATAGTATTCGTTATCATTATTCTAAAATACGGGCAAGACTTTGGACACCTGAAGAAACCACGAAACTTTATAATTCCGCCATAGATTTTGGGGTGAATAATAAAGAATCTTGGGATAACATTAAATTATTATTTCCTAATCGTACATTAAAAGAATTAAAAGAAAAATATGGGGAATTAAATAATCGAGCTAAAATGAAATTTGGGGAATGGACTAAAGATGAACATTGGAGATTTGAAAAGGCATTAAATGATTGGTCCAAATTATGGAAAGAAGGAAAATTATCGGAATATCAAGATCTTTGGAGAAATATTAGTGATGAGGTGAAATCTAGAAGTGCCAGGCAATGCAAGAGATATTATTTTTGGAAATTTGTAAGAGAGAATTTTCCTAATAATAATAATAATAATAATGATATGAATGGGGAAAATGAAGGGAATAACGAGAGTAGCGAGAATAATGAGAAAAGCTAGAATAATGTAAATATTGAACATGCATAGAATAATCATAATTACGTCATTAATATACTGTAATTAAAGCTAGCAGATGATATAATCAATTGTCATTTTTAACGCTTTGAAAGAAAATAATAAAGAAAAATTCAAATAATCCTTTCTTAATATTTTAACATTTTGTTGATTATATTATTTTTTTTAAAAAAAATTAAATTAAAAAAAAAAAATGGTTCAAAGATTGCTTAACAAAAATTCCCAACAATTTTCAATATCAACGTTTAGAAGATTTAAACAAATTGATTATCGTATTCTTTTCAATTCTCGTTATTATACAAATAAAAGAAATGATAATAATAATCATAATAATTATAATAATTCTTCTTCAACAACAACAACAACAACAACAACAACAGTACCACCAGGGGATTCACTTGACAGTCAAGCACCCGCTGCGTGTATGTCAAAATAATTTATTCTTTACGTTCTATACGTTCCATACATTCTCTTTACATTCATTCACAATATATATATATATATGTATATATTTTTTTTTTTCGAATAAATAAAAATATAGCTGAATCATCTAATTATCCTGAAAATAAGGAATCTAAAAGTATTGAAAAAGATACTCGAAGTGAATTAAAAAATCGAATTCCAATCTATGAAGAAAATGAAGGAAATGAAGATATTCAAGATGTAACTTCTCCATCACCTGATGAACAATTTGGTGGATAAAAATCGTTGAATGAATGAAATATTTTGTTTTGTTTGTTTTTTTTTTTTTTTTTTTTTTTTTTTTGTTTTGATAATTTCTTTTACTTTAGAAAAAAAAAATGACTGCATCAAATATATCCTATCTCGTTTATTGGATATATTCAATAATAGATTAAATATTATATGACAATGAACAAATTTTACGTTTTACACTATTCATTATAATTCATTGTATTCATTGTGGTTATCTTAGAAGTATCTCGTTCATTCGTTCATTGAATATATTAAATGTGACAATGGACAAACTTACGTTTACATTATTCATTGTATTCATTGTTATTCATTCGCTGCAATCACATATTACACAATAATTCTTGCAGTGCACACACACACACACATATATATGTATTAGAGATATTTGTACTTCAGAAATTATTAAAGTCAATTTTTAAAAAAAAAAATGATTAAAAAGTATTTTTATTCAAAAAGATTTTTTTCTTTACGAAGATAAAACCTAAAAAATGCGTTAATCATGCAATCTTTTATTAAGAGTAACCTTTTTACAATGATACAATAGGTTCATTGTAGTTTATTGCTGTAGGTTCTGTAGACCGTGTGAATTTTTTTTTTTTTTACGCATGAAACACGAATTCCTTATCTTTTACGCACTTCATCCGGAGATAATTGGGAGATAAAAATATCAAAAAGTAATAGAATGGTTATAGAAGAAGCAACGTACTGTGCAGTATTGGATTAAACATTGTCATGGCAACAACGTTTTGAACATATTCAAAATGAAATTCTTTGCTTTGTTGAAAAGCATAGATTAGATCTAAAAAAAAATAAAATAATAAAGTCATTTTTCATCTTTTTATATATATATTTTGTATTATGAGAATTGTAAAATAGGTATTCTCTGATCTGATGTGGTATTTTATAATCAAATGCAAGTAATTGAGAAAAAGTAAAAGAGTTGTTGTAACATTTCATTTGAAACCATAAAATCTCATTTCACTAAAATTATTTCTTATAATTAAGGTTGTGTTGTTAGATGATGACGATAAAAATGATTAAAACGCCGTAAGTGCTAACCAAGTTGGAGAGATATGAAAAAAACCTGTTGTATTATTTTTAAGGATTGTTCATGTGCTTGATTTTCCTCCGAGTTTTCTCCGAGTTTACACTGAGTAAATTCAGAGAAATTTCTGATGAATGTGTGCCAATACCCACTTAAAAATATTTTTAATTTTTAATTCAAATTACTTTGATTGGTGGTTATGATGAAATATGACTTTATTAAATGCATGATTACAAGTAAGAATATTAAATTATCAGATTATCAATTAATGAAAACAAAAAGAAATCAATAAATTAGATTTACGGATTTCTTTCCCCGCCCGAGTAACATCGGAGTTTAAACTGCTTATTCAGTATGGCTTAATTAAGCAAAATGATAATTTTCTTTGTGTTAAATAAAAAAATAAAAATATTTTATTTATTTTATTAGATTTTGCCAATGATATTTTATTCTATTATTAGAGAGAAGAGATAGTAATGCCAATTTTTTTGCAATGTTTACGTGTACGTGATGTTCGTTTTTTTTTCTAAAAAGGGAAATATCTACAATAATTAATAATCTATATCAATTACTTTCCCAATTTTCTAAATTAACTATTTTAAATAAATTAAATTTACTATTTGTATTATCTATTATGATTTTTTTTTATTATTTATTGTCAAATTCAGATTTTTGCAATTTTTCGATTTTCGCCTAATTTAGATAAAATTAAAGGGTAGGTATTGCTAAAGCTTACCGGCTGTGATTGTCAACACCATACAAAATTACATAATTCTCTAACCCTAACCCTAACTTTGCCCACGTAAATTTAATTTTGTCCAGTGGTGATAATAACCACCGGTGAGCTTTAGCTATGTTCGGATTTTTTTTTTTATTTCTTGGTAGATCTAATTAGTTCTTTAATTCTTTGCTGATCTGTTTTTCTACGTTCAAAAATATTGTTGACGAAGAAGTTCGCGATTGATATGTCTTTGTTTAAAATCTATTCAGCTCGGACACGTCTTATATCTATCGTGTACTTCATCCATAAGCGGCCGGCCGCTAGATTTTGCGAAGGTGATAAGTCTTTTCTTTTTTTTTATTATTATTTCTTGGTAATTTTAATTAATTCTTTAATTCTTTGTTTGTCCGTTTTTCTTTCTCAGGTTGATATGGCTTTACTTAAATTAAATTTATTAAATTTTTGTTTTTTTATTTTTCATTTTTTTATTTATTTATGTCAAATTCAAAATTGTAATTTTTGCCAAATACGAAAAGTCTCAAAAAATTCAACCCCTTCTTAAAAGTTGTGCGCAAGTTTTATATCTATCATGAACCTCCCCCAATTGTCTCCACAAATGCGCAGACGCCATGTTAATTACGAATTGGTCGGATTCGTTCAAAATATCGCTACAAAGTTGTCTCAGAACAATTCTGAAAACATGGTCTCCTTTGATTTTTGAGCCTCTTTTTTCTTTGAGCGTAGGATGGTTGTGGTCCGGATGATTATTCCTTAGTGATGATATAATAATTTGGTTTTTCTTAATATCCTTAATTATTTCAATTTTGTCGTTAGACATTTGTTATTTTTTTCAAATCTTAATTCTTATGAGAAGCAAAGTTGTCAAATTGTCTTTTTTATATTAAAATTTTCTATCATAATATATCATTAAATGTATATTTCTTGGCAAGCACGACATGACACGCGGAGTGACCAAGAAACAATAAACATTTTTTAATTGGTTTTCATCATAATGCGTCAAAAAAAAAAAAAAAAAAAAAAGGAGTTAGAGATTGTGAATAGTTGATATATTAAACATGATAATAATTTATTGATACTACCTGATCACATATTATACGTTAAAGTATTGTACTTTCTATCAACGAAATCTTGAGATAAATATTTTGTCTATTACGCTTGCATTAATAATTATTTTAACCATGAAAGTCACAAAAGACACACCACAATTTTTACACGTTTCCAAAGGAGAAAAGGAGCCAGGGGTGCATCTTTTACTGCTTTTATGTAAAATCGGCTATTCCTCTTTTACCAATAGGAAATTAAATAACACGAAAGTTTTTTCTTCTTTCCAGATAAAGAAGCGTTCTAATTATAGATTTAAAAGAATTTTACTTAATTTAATCATCGAAACAAAGAATTAACCCACGCTTTCTTTATTATGAAAACCGAAATAGATGATTATTTATCGTACATTCATTGATTTGTTCATTTATTTGAACGAATCAATCGTAGATTTAATGAATTTAATTTTATTTTTAATTTGCGTAAATTAAAGTTAATATTTAGAAGAGAAGTAAAACCGAAATAGATGATTATTTATGATTTGATCAATTATTTGAACGAATCAATCGTTAGATTTAATGAATTTAATTTTATTTTTAATTTGCGTAAATTAAAGTTAATATTTAGAAGAGAAGTAAAACCGAAAT